ATAGAATTGCTCAACTTATTAGCAATTAGAAAGTTTTTTTTCTTTCTTTTTCTGAGAAAATGGTTTTAGTCTTTGATCTCATCTTTTAGCAGCCAATAATTTGCTTGGTTCTTATGTGTTTCTCCAAGAGCTTACAGAAAAAAAAGAAAAGAAAAACATACATGGAAATTAGAAGAAAAAAGAAGGGGGGCTTCTTATTAGATTTGAATGGGAGGGGAAGTAATTGACAGTTGAGTTGGTTGAAAATAATGGCACATCCCACTCCATATTTTTTCCTCTTCTGGCTCATTTTCTGCTTTTTACTACTTTGTATTTATTGATATTTATTTCAAAATGTATTGATAGGTGCCTCCATTCTTTATTTGGATTTATGATCAAGGCGACTACAACCTACAAATTGTTGGCGTATATATTTATAGTTGTATTAGAAATAAATATTTCTAACTATTTGTGAACCTTGGCTGAAAAGTTGATGAACTATTTGAAGAATTATAATCAATGCATCAAAATAATATCGACCCAAAAAATTAAAAAGAACTTAAATTTTGATTCAATTTTTCAAAGAAAGAACTATTAGGAAGTGTGCAGTTCAACCACTCATATTAAGCAAGATTTATGAATTGGTGTAAAAAGTCCAGTAGAGTTAGTTAGCGTTCTTAAATTGATGCATGTGCATACTTTATGAGAAATTAAGAATCCAAAAGTCTATAGTTCTGTTCTTAAGAGGGAACATTGTCTTCTAGAGCATAGACTAATTAGTAATGACCAAAAGAAAAGTCTTTTTTTATAAGTCAACATGCGTGCATCTAAGCTATTTCATCGGATATTTGATATTACTAACTAGAGCAGTAACTCTAACCACACGGCTTAGATATATACATATAAAAAAAATAGTTTATATTTTTTTGTCTTTATTGAAATTTAATTTGTACCTTGATCGTTCATGATTTTCACTTATCTTATTCATCGCTAAGTCGCACCCTTAAATACAAAATGCAATATGATATAAGGTTTGTCTTAGTCATGGATGGAGTAATATAAGAGGTGTAGCATGGTAGGGTTGGACCTTTGTTGCAGGCTATGTCCTATAATGTCTTAGACCTACAATAAATTATGGCTTGATTGACTGTGTACTCCATGAATTGCACTAAAATATGGTAGGGGTAGTGGTAAACTCTGTTTTAAAAGGTGCATGTTTCTGGGGCGAGCCCGGGGGCGAGGCGTACCAAAAATGCCCCGAGACGATGGTGTGGGGTGAAAGTCTCAAGAGGCGTACGCCCCGCAATTTGGGACGTATGCCCGGGCGTTCGGGACGTACGCCCAGGCGTTCGGGGCGTATTTTTTTAGTAAGAGTAAGCCCCAGAGATTTTTTTAAATTAAAATAAAATTTGTTGAATTAGTCCTTCATATAATACCCAAATTCTCAAAAGTCAGTTTGGTAATTACTCAAAAGGTTTAAAAAGAAACTCAAAAGTATTAAATTTAAAAGTAAAGACCTTTTGTATTGATTTAAGCCCTAATTCATGATTTTCCCAATTTTTATCTTATCCGCTAGTCTGCTAATATCTCCCAAAAGTAACGAATATTTATTTTTTTTACAAATAGAAAGAGAACTACATTTTTCTTCATAACAACAAATTCAAAATTTAAATTACAGGTTAATCATCATTTTTATTCCTCCATATAGAAAACTTTATTCTTTTAGACTCAAATTACTTGTGCTTGTAAGTAACGTATAATAAATTATTTTGATTAGTTTTTTGTGGGGATGGAGTACACACATATCTAGTTTTTTCTTCAATTTTTATGCAATTTTACTTGTTTATAAATATTAACTGTCATTATATTATTTATAAAATATTAAAAATTAAATACCTATGGGGCTTACGTCCCGCTGAGGCATATGTAAAACGCCACGCCTTACGCCCACGCCTTTTAAAACACTGGTACCACAAGAAAAAACCTAGAGCCACAATTAAACATGAGTTGTTAAACTAACTACTCCCCAAATTAAAATTGATTTAAAGGACATGTATCATACAATAATTTTTAATTTTGTTTTACCTGTTAATAGTGCGTGTAAATTTATATAGGCGTTTAATTTTCTTGGATGTTCTTCAGAAGTGCGTCCCATAAAAGCTTGTTCATTTCTACTTATAATCTATCAAGCAACAAATTCGATTATATGCAACAGTGTATTCACATTAATTAGGTTAACGCACGAGATAAGTAGACGCCCTAAATGCTTCACATTATTTGTAAAATTAACATATGCTCATTTCTATTTGTTCTAACAACAAACTTTTATTGATACTTACACCGTAAACTGTAGAAACACGGAGTGATTGTATTTTGTGAACAATATTTTTCAAAGTCAATAAAATTAATAAAAAGACCTTAGGAAACTCTTAATGCATGTTTAGTTTGAATCATGTGCTACGTATTTTTTTTCTTCTGATTTTAGATAAACAATTCTTGAATAATTAATTTAAAAATATACCGATTGTTGGAATTTTTCTTTTAAGAGATACAATTACAAATTACTCATTGTGCTTAAAAAGAATAATATTATCGGTCCCTCCCCTTCCACCACCCTCCCCCACCAAAAAATTAAAAAGAAAAAAGATTTTCTGTAGTCCTTGCCAAATAAAATGATATTTGAAGTTCTTCTGTTGATTTCAAAGCAATGATCTTTGACTGATCAAAAGGAAGAATAATTAAAATTTCGCCCTACTCAAGCTCCACTGTATTTCTATTAAATGGACAAATTAAGTAAGAAGCATATTCAAATGATTTGATAGAAATTAACGGAGTAATTATGCCAGATCTCTTGGGATAGACGACAGAAAAGGGACAATTAGTTCACTTAAACTAAGTAAACTTTACTATAACATATTGTCAACCTTGTAATATTTGATCGAGCAATCCATTCACAAGAAGAAAATTAAAAAGAAAAAGCCAAACAAAAGGACTATGAGTTTGACCAATCAACTCTCTCTCTATCTTTCTTTTTCACACTCTTTTTTCTCCTTTTGTCTTGGGTTTAGTAATCTGGTGCGTGATTAGCGGCCATGAAAATTGGAAGTCCAGTAGGTCTCTTTTTTTCGTCCATTAGGTTTTTTAATTACTAAAAAATTGAAATTATTATATCTCTGCTAAAATTAGAAATGTTAAATTATTCGGACAAAAGATCAATGGAGTTTCTACAGTCTTGTGGTCTTTAAATAATTCTAGAAAGAGTCAATCGAGGAGATAATATCGGAGTACTTAGAATATTTTCATTTTCAGGTATTTATATAAGCTCCACCTTCATATTTGGTAATTCTTCCTAGAAATAAAGAGAGGAGATATTATAGACAAGGAAAAGAAACAATCTTTTGGTAAAATACTCTAGCAAATCGATAACATATTAACATGGTTATATCTCAATCAACCTATCTTAACAGATATAACCTCTTTCTAAATATGAACTTAGTCGGCTTCCAAATTCAAATTTTAAATTAACTAAATAAATACATAATTGTGAGCTGAAAATAATTAATCAATTTCGGATTACCTTTTAGGTAAGTACCAACCGCATATTTTGTTTCAGTAAAATATAAGACTAAAAGTGGCCGTAGGTTGCGCAAGGATTAGGGAAAGAAACAGGACAGGAACATCATATTCGAAAAATGGCCGAAGGCCTCAAATACAAAAAATAGGTGCGTCAAAATTAGCAGAAGTTCCCTTTATTTAATAAAATAAAGATAAGAGCAGATGACAAATTGACAATGAAATGGAGGATTCGGTGTAGTTGCTTGGCAGCAGGCATGTCTATTTCACAATTTAAGAGCATGTGCATTTCTGTCATAATTCAACAAAAATCACATGCTACGGTCACTATTAGAGGTTCACATTTCCTTAACTGAAATGGAAAGTATGATATCCATACAAATTAAACAAGTTGGATGTTTGTTGAATTGTTTGGTTACCTTCAACTAATGTTCAGTTGTTGCACTTATAGTTGTCTCTTGTCTGCTACAATAGCATAGGGAAGAAAGCATGTTACAATTAATTGGATATAAGGATATTACTAATCTTTTTTTCCAGTAACTGTTATATTGTGTTTTCTTTGCTGGTACTACTAACCTCCAAATCTCTAATATTGGATTAACATGTGCAAGACGGTGTTAAGTTATATAAAGTCTCATGTAAATTGTATAAGCGCATCCAAAAGTGTGTATAAAAATTTAAAAAGTGTTGGTTTATTTCACTAATTATGTAGAGGTTTTGATTTGAATGTTCAAACTTCATGTACTTATCCAATCTTATCTTGTCTCAGCATGGCCTTAATAGAGACATGATGCTTGCTTGAGAAAGATAATATAACAAAATTTAATCTAATAATCTAACAAACATAATATTTGTATAGCATAATGAGAAATTAATGTGCGAAGATATACTCCAAACTTTTTTGACAACATTACTATCTCCAGTGACTCCATCTCAACAATCAAGCCATAGTCGAAACACCACTCTATTCCATGCAACAACCCAAAGCTTTAATCTTCATTGTTAGTTTGCTGTCCAAACCACACAAATTGCATTATATAACCTACCTCTCCAGTTTCATTCCTAAGTATAATCCCTCCACCACTTTCACCCAAGCTACCCAAATATGATCTATCCATTTTAGCTTCAACAGTGCATTGGGGCATTCTCCAGCATATTTTCTTGGCACTTCAAGTTCAAGGCGTGCTATAGTTCGCCAAAGTTCGACCCGAGTACACCCATGAGGTCCAAAATGCATTTTCAGTTTTGAAAATGAAATTTACATAGTCACAATTTGTTTTGTTATAAGTATTGTGTATCAACATTCATTACAATCCCAAACTTCATTTTACATAAAACAGCATTAATGATTACTTGGACATTTTCGCTGAAGTAAAAAAAGGATAAGCATTTAACAAATATATAAGGAATTCTTCTATGCAGATACTTCCAAATTTACTAACTTGATATAATTTGTTTACCAAATCTTTATCAGGAAAAAGAAAGCAATTAGGACTAAAGTAAATAAAACTGGGAACAACCAACCCTATCACAAACAAGCTCCAAAATTCAAGAATCTGACCCATCAATTGGAAATGGGTTCCAAAGCAGAAGAGAGAACAATAAGAGATTAGGCACAATAAATGGAATCAAAGGGTGAACATCACTTCCCAAATGTCTCCTTTTAAACCTTTTCCTTACATACAGTCTCCTCTGTTCATCTCCCCACTGAGCTTCCTCTAAACCCTTGGCCAGTATCAGTGGAGGGGGTTGTTGGTATGGGCATTTGGACCTCCAAGAAGTTTCAGGTGCCCCAAGTCTTGAAACCCTTTTCAGGAAAAGTGAGAAAGCCCATTTCAGATGCACAGAAGGGAAAGTGTTAGTGGAATATTTGGTGCACAGAATTGGTGGATAGTCCCAGTTAAGGTAACATGGAACTTGGCTAGAGATGAAGATTTGGGAATCCAAAGATGGTTTAATTGTGGGATTGATTATGATGTGTGTTAATGCTTGGATTCTTTGATCCCATCTTGTGTCTTCCATCTTCTTGTTATCATTGTTTTCCTGTCGATGGTAAGTTCAGACTTCAGAGCAATTGGTTATCCTTAGCTGAGTTATCTGGCTAACTTGGATGAGAATTGGGAATGTGGGGAGAAGCTAGTGATGCTTTTGGCCAAATTTCAATTTGACCCCTGATAGGTTATGAATATTGCAATATTGGCCCTCCAGTCCTCAGTATCGAATGTGTAAAATTTGTTCCCTATAAAATACGGTAAAGGTCAAATATACTCATATACTTTCGAAAATGGTCTAAGAATACCTCTCGTTATACTATTGGGATATATATATCCTTCTCGTCATACTTTGGAATAAATATACCCTTATTTTGGATGGAGTGCCACGTGTCAGCACCAGATGAAAACGACCTATTTCTTTTTTTTTACCCGATCCGTTTTAAAAAAATTACCCCCGACCCGTTTTAAAATTCAATTTTTTTTTTGTAAAAACTGGGAAGAAAAAAAAGGAATCTGCAAAATATATATTTTTAAGCCTTTTCAGTTTTTTTAAAGTATTTTTTTTTGTAAAAACTGAAAAAAAAAATATTTTTTTTTAAAATACTTTAAAAACTGAAAAATATATATTGTGTAAAAAAAAAAAAAAAAAGAAATTTGCAAAATATATATTTTTTAATTTTTTAAAGTATTTGTTTTTGTAAAGACTGGGAAAAAAAAAAAGAGTTTGCAAAATATTTTCATTTTTTAAAAACTAATGCATATGTAGTCCATTGCTTTAGAAGTTTTTTTTTCAGTTTTTTAAAAAAAAAAAATTTCTTCAGTTTTTACAAAAAAAAATAATTTAAAAAAACTAAATAGACTTAAAAATATATATTTTGCAAATTTCTTTTTTTTAGTTTTTACAAAATATATATTTTTCAATTTTTATAGTTTTTTTTTTTTTTCAGTTTTTACAAAAAAAATACTTTTAAAAAACTTAAAAGACTTAAAAATATATATTTTACAGATTCCTTTTCTTTCTTTTTTTAGTTTTTACAAAAATAAATTTCAGTTTTTACAAAATATATGCTTTAAAAACTGAATTTTAAAACGGGTCGGGTGGTGGTTTTTTTAAAATGGATCGGGTAAAAAAAAATGGGTCGTTTTCATCTGGTGCTGACACGTGGCACTCCATCCAAAATAAGGGTATATTTGTTCTTAAGTATGACGAGAAGGGTATATATATCCCAATAGTATAACGAGGGGTATTCTTAGACCATTTTCGAAAGTACAGGGTTATATTTGGCTCTTTACCGTTTAAAATAACATAGGGTCTTTAGGAATTTTAAATCAGGATTAGAACTAAACTAATCATATTAATCAAGATTTAAAATATAAGGAAAATAAAAAAGAAATACCATTAAAACGTTTCCTTAGAGGTGACTACATTTTTGTAAGAGAAAAAGCTAGGCTGTGGAAGAAAAAAAAGAAGAAGAAAGAAATAGGCTCCGAGCCTCTTAACAATTTTAGAGCGTGCGGTGTCATCTCCCATCAATAATTTTCGGCCAATATAAGATTCTTATACATTATTCGAAACCTTATTATGAAAAATATTTATGTATTGATATTTATCCGACCTAAATACATTTTAATTACAAAATATATACAATCCACCTTAAAAGGCCTCAATTCATTATTTGTGCTTTCAATCAAGAGATTTAGTTATATATTTTTTTCCCTTTTTTCTCTCCTCTTTCCCTTTTCTATCCGGATCTACCGTTATACCTTTTTCTCTCCTCAAGTTGAAGCTTCATCTGATTTCAATTAAACTCAAATGTTTGTGTTGAAAATCCTGACAAATTCAAATCCCTTCGAGTTCTTTTTGTGATGATAATTGAGAGATGTAGTCTATTTAATAATTGTCAGTTTTTCAGTATGTTCATGTGTTTATGAAGTTATTCCGTTATTTATTCAATGGCACTCCTGCAATTTGGAAGCTTTGTGCGGTACAGTAGCTAATAGGGCTTCTAAATACGTAAACATGTAAATAATAGAGATAATAGCTGGAAAATATCCAACCATCCTTTAAATTAAGAATATTATATAAAAACGTGATTGAAAATTTAACTACATAATACCAATCTCTAATGTGATTTAGAGTTTAAAAATTACTATTCCTAACAATTAGAAAAACTGCACTTCTTAATCTAAGGAGGTTCTGTGTTTGTCCTATTGAAACAACTTTAGACTTCAGAGCATTAATTTGTGTAATCAAATCTTCTTTTAATGTAAACGGATGCGGCTTTACACTTTGGTCAGTTAAGTTATCCTTACATTTGGTAAATGCTTATATTTGCTCACGTAGTTAAGAGTATGCTTATACTTAAATACAATTTGTATACAAATTTTATACAATATGTATTTTGTNGAAATAATTGATTTCTAATATAAAGGGATACTCATTTAATTCCTAAAGTGTATATAATTGGTAAATTTATATATAGGATGTAATTAAATTNATTTATATATAGAATGTAATTAAATTGAAACTTGAGTAGGGAGGGTAATAAAGTTTTCAATAGTGTATAGGTATGTAAAAATTCCTTTTCTAATTGTGTTCTCCAATTTAGGGAACAACAAAATTTAGAAAGTTTTCAGCTCACGTTATGGATAGTTATTCATAAGCAAAAAATCGAAATCTTTACACGGAAGAGCAAACGAAAAGAGCATCGGAAGATCTCTTGTAACAAACTAAGAGTAGACAACTCTCTTTTAATAGAACTGATCGATTGTATTGAATATTAAACTGTAATTATAAAGCCAAAACTAACTATAGTAGGGAAGATTGCAACAGAACTAAGAAGAAAGTGATACGAACGCAGAAGCAAAAATAACAAGAACACAAATAAAAAGTATAGAAAGATAGAATTTAGCAAAAAACTAATTAGGGAATTGAAAGAACACTTGAAATCTATTTCAAACACCCATTCAATTAAAACCTAATTAACCCTAGACTATAGGATAACCCTCAAGAGGGAGAATCCCCATAAAAGCCACATTAACAAGTTTGTAATCAACTAAGGATTTCATCCTTACACTCACTCAAGGAGTTCAACATTTAATATCAAAATAAGCTAAGCTAAATTGAGAGCCTTAAGGGCTATTCATACTAGGGAGCTAAATATTACAATTATAGCCACCAAATATAATATTGTCTTTAATTGTTGGCGAAATTGCACATGTAGCCGTCCCATTATAGAAGTAGCCTCCAATTAGAATCCAAATTGCTCGATGGCTATCTAGATTGTATCAGAAAGAGGATGAGAAAGACTGATACAGAATTGGGGATGGGAAGATACCAGAAATGCCTTTGCACATAATTCACGATAGCCTACTGATAGTGTTACTATGCACTATTTAACAAATACGAAGTGCCTCAACCTGGATCCCAGAGTAACCTGTGTGAAGGCCTGGCCCAATTGCTTCTTCTCGGCCCAATATAAATTTGTGTGATATCTGTGTTGGTATCTATATTGGGCCAGACTAGATTCATAATAATACCCTCCTCCTCAATAAGAACTTTGTCCTCAAGGTTCGAGTACATCAACACTAATGAGGAAAGACAATTGACATATGTTTGGATTTCAAACAACAAAGAACATCTTGAGTTATCCCTCAAAAGAAATCCCAAGACTTTCATCAGGACTTCTAAAACTATCATAGGAATTGATGCAATCCTTTTGGAGATATCAACAAAGTCAAAAATAGGACTTGCATAATATGTAGTAGCAGTGGTCCATCCAAACCGATGAAATACCCTTAAGACCACTTCCACCACAAGATAACGTGCATATTTCATTTGGAATAATTCAAGTATCTTAGCCATGAAGAGTATTTGAGGGACTTCTCTGTATTTTATTATTGCAGCAACTTCCACACACATGTTGGCATTCTTCCCCCCGGAAGACGTTGGTATGAAAAATAGGCGCATAAGTTGCTTTATGAATGTATCATCTTTGTCTTCCTGGTCACTCCTTTGAAGGAAACATAGCAATACCTGCATGATAGTGGCAACATTGAACAAGGAATCCAAAGTGACATGAGAATTGCAGACAATCTCTTCCCTTGGTCTGCACGTAACGGGCTTGAATAAGTAGAAAACTTGCTGAAATTTCTGGTCTGCCACCAAGTAAACTCCCCCGCTAGCAAAAGGAACCAGAAAACCAATTGCAATATACACATCATTCCAACTTGCAGCTTCTAAAGCGTCAACAATAGTCACAACAGGTGCACGTAGCAGTTTGGATCGAGATAGTAACTCAAAATTATAGGTACAACCAGCACCACTACTCTGTAAGAAAAGCAAAACATTGACAGCAGTTTCATTCCTACATACAGGATAGTAGGCGGTAGGTAGCTGAACATGGGGTCCTGGATCGTAGGGGTAAAGGTCAAAGAATTGGCTTACAGCAACTTGCTTAAATAGTCATGTGCCCTTATACATTGCAAGAAAAAAAAGCAGAACATGATGTTGACTTCCCCTCACTATAAACTCAATCACCTCATAGTGTAGCTATTGGTTCATAAGTAGAAAAAACAACACTATTTGCAAACATATTCAGGTTGATAGCGATATCATGTATACCAGGATCAAAGGGAAGATTAGCAAACTTGACATAAACAACCAAGTCTGCTATGGAAGATGAGTAGCGTTGCAAAAAATATATGACGGTATGGAACCCTAGCTCGGCAAGCCCTCTAAATGGCTGTATGTTAACATCCAGTAAGTCCATATCTGTCACGACCCAATTTCACCTATAGGTCGTGATAGCGCCCAACACTACAACTAGGCAAGCCAACTAATAAATTAAACATATATCGATGAAATTTAAATCCAAGAAAAATAATAAGACACCAAATTCTACAAATGTGTGTGCCAAGACCTGGTGTCACAAGTGTATGAGCATTCTAGTAGATTATACAAAACCTCAAATACTGTCTGAAATAAAAATAGACAGAATGTAAATATAAGAAGAGACACTGGTAGCTGCAGAACGGCTCAGAAAGGCAGCTCACCACTATGCCTCTGGATAACGTGGGTGTAAGGAGATAGGTCCCCCACTAGTACTTGCCTCAGGTCCTGCACAAAAAGTGCAGCAAATATAGTATGAGTACGTAAACAACGTGTACCCAGTAAGTATCAAGCCTAATTTCGAAGTGGTAGAGACGAGATGGCCGACTTTGACACTCACTGTGGGTCAATAATAATAATTGAAATAAAACTAGAATATCTAAATCAGCATGATTCACATAATATAACAATAATTTATTTAACCAGGAGAAATAATTAAATTCCTTCAATTCCAACAAATTTTTAAATTTATCAATTAGTCTCATTTACATGAATAACAATAATTCCTTAACAAGCACGAATAATAATTCTTTAAATTTCAAAGATTTTCAATTTATCAATTAGCTTCACAAGCTACAGTAAACTATCAAAGTATCGTGTAATTATTATTATTAAGCACAATTTCTGCCGGGGTCGTACGGCCCGATCCAGAATATCGTGAACACTGCCGAGGGACGTGCGGCACGATCCATAGATGCATTTATCCTGCCGAGGCGTTCGGCCCGCTCCACAAGAAAGGAGGATATTTTCTTATGTACCTCCGGAAAGAGAGTATTTATTATAAGATCAATTCGAGAATACGAATAATTTCTCTTAACAATTAATTAATTTAAACAGAAAATCAAGCATATGAGGTTTTCATCCTTTAATTTTTTATCTAACAATTCACATTATATATTAATTAAACAAAGAATACAATTATGTTTTGAATCCTAAACTACCCGGACTTTAGCATTAATAGTAGCTACGCACGGACTCTCGTCACCTCGTGCGTACGTAGCCCCCCACAATTAGCAACAATTATTACTTTAATTACCTATGGGATAATTTCTCCCTCACAAGATTAGACAAGAGACTTACCTCGTCTTGCTCCAATTTAATCCACTAGTAGGCCTTTTCCTCGATTATCCAACTTCGATTGGCTCGAATCTAACAAAAAATAATTCGATACAATCACTAAAATTTATAGGAATCAATTCTATAAGAAAATACTATATTTTCAATAAAATCCCGAAATTAATTAAAAATTCGTNAAAATCCCGAAATTAATTGAAAATTTATCTGTGGGGCCCACATCTCGGAATCTAACGAAAGTTATGAAATCCGACAACCCATTCAATTACGAGTCCAACCATATCAGTTTCACTCAAAATCCGACTCCGAATCGATACCGAAATCTCAAAAATTCATTTCTATGAGATTTCTAAAAAAATTCCAAATTCCAATCTCAAAACACTAATTAAATGGTGAAAATAATGATATATTTGTGTATATAGACTAAATCCGAGTTAGAATCACTTACCTCAATGTCTTTTCTTGAAAATCTATCCAAAATCGCCTCTGCTCAAGCTCCAATTTGTTAGAAATGGCGAATGGGACGAATGCCCTCTTTTTTTTATAAACTGCCCAAACAGCCTTCAAAACTGGGCCTCGATCGTGGCTTCGATCATGGCCCTCGATCCTAGGCCTCGATCGTGGCTTCGATCACAGGCTCGAGCTTGGACCTCGGTCATGGCCTCGATTATGGCATCGAGCCTGGTCCTACGATCATAGCCTCGACCATGGCATCGAGCCTCAGCCTTCGATTGTGACCCTCGATCTTGGGTTTCGATCCTGGCCCTCGAGCCTTGCCTTCGATCATGGCCCTTGAGCCTTACCTTCGATCATGGCCCTCGAGCTGGACCTTCGATCGTGGCTTCGATACTGAGCCTCGTTCCTGGGCTTGATATCTGGGCTCGATCTTGGGCTCGATCACAACCCAGAATATCTAGCACAAGGAAAAATTGCAGCAGCTTTTTAAGTCCAACTTTTGATCCGTTAGCCATCCGAAACTCACCCGAGCCCCTTGGGACCTCAACCAAATATCCCAACAAGTCCTAAAATATCATACGAACTTATTTGAAACCTCCAATCACATAAAACGACGCTAAAACCACGAATTATGTTCCAATTCAAGCTTAATGAAACTTAGAATTTCCAACTTCTACATTCGATGTCGAAACCTATCAAATCAAGTCCGATTGACCTCAAATTTTGCACACAAGTCATAAATGACATAACGAAGCGATGAAAATTTTTGAAACTGTATTCCGACTCCGGTATCAAAAAGTCAACTCCTTGGTCAAACTTCCAAACTTAAATTCTTGTTTTAGCCATTTCAAGCCTAATTGCACTACGGACTTTCAAATAAAATTTCGATCACGCTCCTAAGTCCAAAATCACCATACGGAGCTGTTGGAATCATCAAAATTCTATTCCGGGGTCGTTTGTATATAATTCGACATCCGGACACTATTTGAACTTAAACTTTTAATTTTTCATCAAAATTCCATATCTCGGGCTAGGGACCTTGGAATTTGATTTCGGGCATACGCCCAAGTCCCAAATCACGATACGGATCTACCGGAACTCTTAAAACACTGATCTGAATCCGTTTGCTCAAAATGTTGACCAAAGTCAACTCAGTTGAGTTTTAAACTTCTAATTCACATTTTAATCCATTTTTCACATAAAAACTTTCCGGAAAATTTTACGGACTGCGCACGCAAGTCGAGAAATGATAAATTGTGCTTTTCGAGGTCTTAGAATACAGAATTAATTATTAAATTCAAAGATGACATTTTGGGTCATCACATTCTCCACCTCTAAAATAAACGTTCGTCCTTGAACGGGTTTAGAATTATACCTGAAGTGCTGAATAAGTGTGGATATCTGCTCCGCATTGAGTTTTAAAGCTCTAATTCACATTTTAATCCATTTTTCACATAAAAACTTTTCAAAAAATTTTACGGACTGCGCACGCAAGTCGAGAAATAATAAATAGTGCTTTTCGAGGTCTTAGAACACAGAATTAATTATTAAATTTAAAGATGACATTTTGGATCATCACAATATCCATGAATTCTACTACTTCATATATATAGTTTCCACCATGAAATAATTGACTTGATCGACCAAGCATATCTACAATGATGACATATTGCACATTGTCATGTTCGAGCTTAAACTCTTCCATTAAGTTGACATAATGCAATCCTTTATCAAGCTTTAAGAAATTTGCTTGCATTATGCTCTTCCATCCTTCTTTATCAGCCAACATAGCCAAGACCTTACTAGGTTGATGCAAGTTTAGAACTGTAGAATTAGGAACTCTAACCCAGCAGGAAAACATCATTAAAATCTTATATACGGGGCTATAGCAAGTGATGTCTTCTTCATAATGAATGAGATCCATTAGTAGCCAATGCAACATAACAACTAGACACTCAATCTCACAGTGACACCACACCATACCACTTCTAAAATACCTCAACTGAGTAATCATGTATTACGCCTCAAGATGAGTTGGAGCACCATCAAAAGAATACAGAAATGAATGTGCTATCGACTCACCCAGTAGCTTGTATGACGCACACGAATTTCTAAAATTCCAACTACATTCAACACTCATTTCAACTCTACCTACATGCGCCCAGTCATACAACTTTACAAACAAACAACTCCCTTTTCTAACTTCTTCAAAAAGTGCACGTGCCTTCATGTTTTCTATCGAATCTATTAGAACCATGAACTCGGGACTAATTCCTGGATCCCATACACAAAGAACCGTTTCAGTTACGGGCATGGTGACATCAAGAAAATTAGAACCAAGATCAAATGGAAACCGGCTCAGTTTATGGTGATCATTGAATTCCACATTAGATTTCCCATGCTCATCACCATGCGTCATTTCATCTAGAAGAATTTCATTTGCTGGAATGCCATCCACATTCTCCATAAAATATTTATCGGGGCATAGTTCTGCAATAGTCTCAGGTTCCATGAAAAATTCAGCAACATATGTGTGTTCAAATGTCTTAAATTCAATTTGTTGTGTACTAGCGCCACAATCAAGAGAAAGTTTAGTCATGCACCTATCTGGCCTATCTTTTGAGAACTTTCATCAAACAGTTGGACTTTGTTGCTTTCAGGACCCATAGCTTCTTCATCGGGCATGTTGATTGGATCATATGATTGCACCTATGCGAATACTTTGGCGCAGCCGCTATGTAACATTTCGTCGAACACCTTAGGTGAGTGATTATCATCCAAATCAACTGCAAAGTGAGAGACACATGTGTTTGCATTTGTGCTTTGGGTCACTGCTGTAACAGGAGAATTTTCCTCCATTGCTTTGGAAAGGACTAGTAGACATTTCATCGAACATTTGTTTGGCCTCTGAGTTTCTATGTTTAAATATGGCTTCAAACTCAAAGAAGTTGGAAACATGACTCATAGCAGTAAGAGGACTTCCCTGGGTCCTTGGTAGTTCTAAAGCTTCATAACAATTAGAACAAAATTGGAGATCAGCCGAACACCCTATCGAAGCAGGGGGGATCCATTTGTGATAATGTAGCTTCAGCTTCTCCGTAAAATGCTTCCGGTCGACGAATTTCTTGTTCCGATAAAGCCACTGGAACCAAGCTAAAGCCTCGCCATCCAAGTAAGATGATGCTAAAGAGAGCTTAATATTGTCAGCGATGGAGTAAAACTCAAAATACCTCTCCGCCTGTAAAATCCAAGACTCCGGATTTCCACCGCGTAACCGCTCTAATTCCACTGGACCTCGGGGTGGAATGGACGTTGTAGACTTTTTCCCCACTAGCTTCATTAACATCGAACAAATATCGGCGAAATCCTTAGAAAGCGAATCCTTCATTTCTTGTAGTGAATCACAAATTGAGTCATCAACGAAAGCCTTGAGTAACTTTTGGTCCTCCATTAGAGACCTCTGGATAAAAGCACCAATGTAACAAATTAAGAGCAGACGACTCTTTCAATAGAACTGATCGATTATATTAAACAATTAATTGGAATTACAAAGCAAACACTAACTAGAGTAGGGAAGATTGCAACAGAACTAAGAAGAAAGGGGATGAGAAAGACTGATACAGAATTGGGGATGGGAAGATACCAGAAATGCCTTTGCACATAATTCACGATAGCCTACTGCACATAATTCACGATAGCCTACTGATAGCGTTACTATGCACTATTTAACAATACGAAGTGCCTCAACCTGGATCCCAGAGTAACCTGTGTGAAGGCCTGGTCCAATTGTTTCTTCTCGGCCCAATATCAATTTGTGTGACATCTATGTTGGTATCTATATTAGGTTGGGCTAGATTCATAACATCTGTACTCTTACACTTATTATTTTTTGTTCATTAAGATTTTGTGATGGTTTTACTATATGAGCTAACAATTTAGTTTAAGGTTATGTTAATAAAGAAAATGACAAAGGGGTTAATTGGGGCCAAACAAGAAGAGGAGTAATGCATTTGATTGATAACAAAAGCAGCAGTGACATTCACAGTACCTGTCAGTAGCTGACAGTTAAGCTATGATCACTTTCCACATCCATAGTGTAACAACTACCAAGAACCATAAGGTGAATTTCCTCAAATAGAGAAATGGCATTTGTTGAGGAGAATATCTACAAAGTGTACAAGAGATCAACAATTTCACGTGGTCATGATTTGCTTCTTTTTGTGTAATAATTCTTGGTTGTCATGTGCTAATTGTTTGGTAAACCAATCATCGTCTTTGAGGCGAATCCTACCCAATCTCGTCCTACTTATAACTAAAACCTGACAAAACACTACCTCAACTTCATTCGTGGCGTAATACACCAGTATCTTTCCATCAATAAATATGCCTGTATCGCCTATACTGTTACCTTTCTCAAAAAAAGTATGTTTGTATCCGCCTAGCTAAGGTGTGAGAAGAGAAGCATGAATACACTTAAAATGGGAAAGACGATCAGAGCTGAGGCCTGCCAAAAGTCGAGAACTCCATTAACAAGCACATTAGTTGGGGGAAATTATTGACAGACGAAGATAAATAAAGTTCAGAAACTGAGTAGCATCAAAGTTCTTACCACTAAGAACACCACTTCTTCATTAGCTAAAGCCACAGGGAATCCATTCCTCTCTATTTCATGTTTTACAAACTTCTGCAACTGCATAATAATAAGCTGTCAGAAATTCATATACTGTAGGATGTCCATCCAACAGCAACTAGATATTCAGGGACAGAAATTTTCACATTTCCAGTTACTAACTTAAATATGACATCAATACACACACAAAAACTTAAATATGGCATTAACACACACACACACATACACATCCTTAAATCAATATTTCATCAATAATACACCAAGAAACAGAAGTGGTCTATCCATATACACTAAGCTCCAGAAAGTCTAGACCAACTATGCAAGTATGCATGCCCATTTTTCCCCAAAAGTACAGAAGAAATAACAGATTGTTTTTGACCCTAGAAACTGGGATTTGAACTCCTTCATATGTACTACGGTTACCAACTTAAATATCAAACATAAATATTTATCCTGAGATTGCTCATTAAAGAGGAAGATCAAAAGCTAAACATAATACGGCATGAAAAAACAAATGTAGATCACCCCATAAACTGATTAAGCAGAAATAATACCACTTATTAATTCCTACCCTCCTAATTAAGAAAATTTGAGTACCTCATAATGGTATTGTCTTGCAGATGCAAAGGTCCTCTGTATGTGATGCAAAGCTTGATCCCAGTAGGAATTAGGATCAGCCTTACTGTATGATCCATATGGATGTAGAATCCCCTTCAACGTTTCGAGGTGGTGGCCAAAAACGTTTTTGATGAACTGGAGATCACAAGAGTGTTAGTTCTCTTCAAAGACTTGAATGCCTAAGAAAACATCGAGAGTAATCATGTCTCTATACGATGTTCCAAAGGAGTTGGCAAGCTAGGAAAAATTTATGAGCATCTTTCAGTACCTTGACAAACGGACATTTACTGGACCTTAGTTGCCTTTTGACCTTCAGTGTTCTCATCTGACATATAAAGTTATGATTCAGCTTTGGCCGCAGTTCTAGTATAGTTTTAATGGTAAATACAACCCAAGGCATAAACAAGAAGATACCTCTGCCATTTGAACAGCTTGCTCAAGTTGTTGTATCTGAATCCATTGTTCAGACACAATTTCAGCCATCTGCGATCCCAAATTAAATAGTTTATCAATGAAAGATTACAGAGTATCATAATACTCATACAGAGAACTTTTGCCAAATCTCTTGCCTGAGAAGAAAATGCATAGCAGGTTATTAACTTTCCATTTCCTCGGACACAAGGTGGTGAAGGAAAACCATTTAAGTGGAAAAAAGTTCATCTTATTCTCTTCTACCATTTCTTTTTCTTTGAATGCTACCAATTTTTCCTAAACGAAGAAATATGTTATCGTGTGGACATCTTGTTACCATTTAGGTCCTATTCCTATCTCCTGTGCATGAAATAAGATGATTTCTTCAACTGAAGAGAAATCTTAAGCGTCCAAGCCTGCAATAACTGTCATGTTTACCCTAGTATACAGTAAAGATGTTTCAACACACTTCTACAGAATCTATTCTCAGGATGATGAAAGAATAAATCAACATCTTAAAAGAAATTATTTTCTTCCACTTGACCTGCACTATAGAAATATTATTTACTGAAGTTGTTTACTCATGGCTTTAGCAAACCTACCTTTTCAACTTGAGACGCAAGAACTTCTAATCTTTTTTGACCATCTTGTGCTTTGAACTCCAATGTATGAATTTCAAAGTTGTTTTTTCTCGCCACATCCCAAAGCAGTCGTACCTATTCAATTGCCTCATTTATCAACCTATAAGATGAGAAATTGTATGGAGAAAAGAAAGCAGTGATCACGTGGTAACCATACCTTTTCTTCTAGAGTATTAATCCTTGACGAGTGATGCTGAAGAAAGAGAAAAAGACAGCATTCATAAGGAATGGATGTGTATCATTTATTCCATTTTCTCATATTGACACGAATTTCACTCAGGTTGCATGAATTATAGATGCTCTAGTAATATTAGCACAACTCCCATGAAGGCATGCCTCATTTACCTACTTAAGATCAGACGAGATCAGGTCACAAAATGAAAGATCAACCAAGAAATCAGAATCATCAGAACCGAGAATCTATTTTTGAAATCATATTCAATAAAATGACAGAGAATTGAAGACCACCTATTTTATGTACGAACAGGTGAACCAGAAATGTACCTGGGGTTCACAAACTGATTACCAGCAACAAAGCTGCACTTACACAGCCTTAATATTCACAGAACTAGCCATTTTTTACAATCAAAGGATCATAATCAGACAGGGAATTTAGGGCATACTGTTTAGCTTTTTGCATGAGCATCATCAAGATATGTAAGGCATTAGTTTTTATCAAAAAAACTATCTGGCATTTGAACGAACATATTCCCTTATACATAGACAGGATTCTGCTCCCTACTCCAAATGGAAGAAGACATTGATGATGTGGGTTGGAGGAATAACTTCTCTTATGATATGCCATAATAACTGTTTCCTACACCAAATTTATTTGGAAAAAAGAAAACCTTAAATCACAAGTGCCCCGTTCAATCCCTTCCATTATTGTCACTAACTGTCAACCTATTGAACCTCAACGAATTCAGATCCTACTCGTAATAACAGAAGATCAATAAATTCATTTTGACTACTTTAGCATATTTCCTCATACTAATTTCTACTCTGCTTTTCCATGCAGTACCAGACACGGCATAGAATCTTGCAAAGGACAAGGCCTTTTCCGAATAAGCCAATTCATTTGGAATAAGTCAGATAGTAGCACACATGAAAAACTGTAAACTGGCCAAAAACAAACCTGCAATTTGGACAAAGCAGTTGTAAGATTGTCAATTTCTACACTAATGTCCTCGATTTTCTTCTCAGCTTCTCTGATGTATTGGATTTTAGCATTTAAACTTGGCATGCTTTCGTCAAGGATGGATTCTGCAATCAAATGCACCAATGTTAAAATTTTACAGAACTAGCAGAATAAGCAGGCGAAGACATAGTATACTTCTCGTGAGAAAATGCTATTGACAAGATACCTTTATCTAAGGCATAAGAAGACCAAAAACTGCATGGTTAAAGGGAAATCATTGTATTTATATGGCAGAATTATGAAAAGCACATATTAAGAAGTGGATAGATAGGACCATCAGGACACTAGCACAAGAAAGAACACTGTCTCTGCATTTGTGCGGGAAACTCAATTAAGGAAAATTAGAAGTCCCACTTTGCAATGCAATGCACATTTATATAGAAAAAGGATAAACAGAAAGAAAAAGAATAACACTTTCCAATGCACTTTTTCAATATAATGTATCAATAAGGCTTCTTAGCATGAAGCAAAATTTTAAGGTAAAGGTACATAATATCTTACCCTAGTCCAATTGAGAGATCACTAGCATCAAGTGATTCACGCGTATATGCACTACCATCATGCTGGTTTCCTATCTATTGTAATGAGTAATCACATATTCCAATCATAGTCAAATCTTTCCTGACTATCGATAGTTAAGAATAAAGAGGGGATACACGAGCCTGGCAATGAAATGAAGTACTCATATCAAGCAGCTTATAATGAAACATTTACTGAAACCCTCATAATCAGTGAGTAGAATGATTCTTTTGAACTATTCTTACTTCTAACAATAAACCGGAACATAAAAAGTAGTAATTACATGTAAATGCACTTTTGTGTGTGTGCACCTCTTTTGTTTATATTTGTAATTACATGTCAATGCACTCGTATTTGTGAGTATAAATATATCTTTAAATATGTATTTCATAAACCACAAGAGAAACATAAGCATTGAGCCATGTGGAGTTCGAATTTCAACGGTGAAAGTGATGAGTCGTGAGAAATAACCTAATCGGGCGATTTTAAGCTTCGCTTCTTGCAATTCGTACCTCACTGAATTCTGATTCTGTTGACCGGACGATGGCGGAATCTGAGATTCGACCGGCGGAACGAGAGCTGCCAGAGAGAAGAGAGCAGAAAATATGGCGGCAACCAACATTAAGGAGATTGCCATCTCCATCTTCGTTATTCTATTGAATGCTGAGTTGCTGCTGCTAAAATACGAATACCGTTTACTCTTGCTCTATCTTCACAAAAGGACAAAGATGACTGAAGAAAAGAGACGGAAGATAAACCGAGCTACATTCTGTTAAAAGAAAAAAGAAGAATAAACGGAGTAAAAATAGATAATTTTAAAAATGAGCTATGTGTTATCAAAATATTATATCGTGGATGTCCATTCATTACTTCGCTATAGATTATCCATTTAGTACTCTGTTGAAGTTTATCTACAAGCACCTGATGCAGGCAACTTGCAAGCAACTCAATGAAATGATTTGCAACAGCTTCTTATTAAACAGACAGGTTGCAAGCAGTTCATGCAGACAACTTACAAGCAGCTGATGCAGGCAAGTTGCAAGCAACTCAATGAAATGATTTGCAGCAGCTTCTTATTAAACAGACAGGTTGCAAGCAGTTCATGCAGACAGCTTACAAGCAGCTAAAGAAAAGCCTTGCAGCTGCTTCCTGAAAAGTCTCGTTGTTGCTTCCTTTCTTCTATAAATAGAGTAGTTTTCAGTTCATTATGAACATAAGTTTGAAAATTGAATAAAATATCAATCTCCCTCTATACTTGTCTTCAGTTTATTTCTTTTATAGTCTTTATTTTATAACATGTTATCAGCACGAGACTCTGTCATTTTGAGCACTTACATCGAATTTAATTTCTATTGCAGTGTTCATCTCCGATGTAAGGCGACACTCTTATGTCCGTGGTCAGATCTTGTTCATTCCGAGCATCATAAGGCAGATTATATCCTTGAGGTGGTAAGTTTTTCTTCTTGGCAGTAGTGATGTAGATATCACTTACATATGGAGTGGCCAAATTTGTGTAATTTAATTTGAGCATTTTGCTTATATTTTAATATCTTTATCATCGCTTACTTGGTTATATGTTACGTATACAGTACCTATTTTGGTATTTGTTTTTATCCTTATTTTCTTAATAAAGGATTACAAAGTGGATAACATTGTTAGATCCACTTAAACTCCAGCAGAGTTTGCAAGAAATATACAACCACCAGAAGTGGTTATATTTCGTATATCTCATTGTAACTAAATTTTGTTAACCACCAGAAGTGGTATATGCCTATGACCACTAAAAGTGATAATTTTGGCTTTCTATGAGTTACAATTAAAGATAAGCTAGAGAAATATTCTCTATATTACATGCACGCCTCGATTTGCTCCTGAAGTAATAAATATTTTAAAAGAGGTTGAAGCATCACAATTTGATGTGATTAATGCGCGTTCAGATAATTATGTTCGATTTCCTGAAGGATGAGAATTTTTTATAAATATTAATCTATTCCCTTAAGTGAATGTGATAATATTAATAAAGTCGTAAATATGAATGCACTCTTGTTGTAAATATATTACAATTCACCTCTAGAAGAGTTAATATGATTGAGAGAATATATACTCAATATTTCGTATTTTAAATTTGCTCCTGAAGAAGTACCACAATTGAAATTTCCTCCTGAAGTAGCAAAATATTTTGAAGCAATGTCTTTCTGTGCTTAAACAAAATAATGAGCTATTCAAAGTTATTTTTGAAGCATATTTTCATTCCCTGGAGTGAATGAAGAAATACCACAACTCACCTCCTGAAGAGGTAGAATAATAGAGGATATAAATATTATTTTTGTGGCATAAAGATCATTGCCCCACGTACTTGTTATACGTAAAACATCTTGAATAATTTTATTAAGTATCATTCTAAGGCAAAAGCATTCTTATAGAATGATTTCTACTACAACCATATTAATATATTATGGTTAGTTATTGAGTTCCCCGAAGGAAATAACAACTCGTGTATCTTTCCTTAAAAGATGCAATGACTATGTGGTTGCCGTATTGATATAAAATATTCAGATGATAATGATATTTCTCCTTGAAAGAGATATTTGTCACAAAGTTAGTGGTAGAAATATTAAAATTCTTAATTTTTGTCATTTATTAATTTAGAATTAGCTTTTTATTGTTCATTTGATTATGATTTTCTCTCATGACACCAAAAGTGTCTGAGCAAATATTTGGTAGTACAACAAAAGCTTCCGGAAGAGCTAACAGTTTGTCTAGAATACACATGATACAAGTAGTGTCTGAATAATATTTGATTGTGGACAATAAATGGAAGGCTCCCGAAGAGCTTATTTGTCATTATTGTGGTCAAAACATATGTTATGATAAACCGAAGTTTACTAATACATATGACTATCATATTGAGACTACAAATGATTGAAAAATTAAAAATCTTCATGTTTCCACAATCATATGGGGTAAATATGTATGTGAGAAGTTATCCGCCTTATTCTTCAAATTTGTACTATATCATGTATCACAGTATACCAGAAGTTTACTAATGTAAAAGCAGTCACAGTAAATCAGAAATTTACTGATATAAAAGTAGCCTCAGTAAATCAGAAGTTTACTGATGCAAAAGTTTATGCCATAGTAAACCAGAAGTTTACTTAGAGATAGCACATGCCATGACAAACTTGAAGTTTTCATCTGCCATTTTTAAATGAGCTATTTGAGAATTCAGATAAGCATATACTGAAGAACTAAAAGATTTTTCAAGAATTCTCTTGTGTTGCTTGTTCTCATAATAACTTGATTATACCAGCTAAAGTTGGGACTAAAATTCCCGAATTCTGGAATATATAAAAGGTGAATATGGGCATATTCACCTATCATGTGAACCACTTATAGATGCATATATAAGATGGTTACATGTATGTTTATTGTCAACCTGCAGTTTGGCATTTGAAATTGTCTTTCTCAATTAAGAGCATAATTTTCAGATTATATAATCAAGATAGTTCATCTTGATGATGCTGGTTTATATCCAAGCTAGTTTAGCATTGAATACCTCCTATTAATGGCTAAACTATTGCTTATGAGAACAAAGCCTCATGTGTTGGTCTAAGATTTTCTAAATTACATACAGCAACACTTGTATGCATCAGACCAACAAAATATGATAAGTCATCCCCTCATAGTTGGTTTAGGATTAGAAACCAAATATTTTTACTATCTAATAACTTTTGATGTGTGGTATATGATTAATTTATCTACCACAATGCACAAAGATATGTTTCCTAAAGAAGATTGGGGATATGAGTTAGCTTTTCTAATATTTGGGTGATGGAATAAAACAGCTGGAAAATATGATATATGAATCGAATTATCATTAATATGATCCTCGCTTAGAAGATAATTCAAGTCAAATGCCAGAAGTATTTGCTGATCCAAAATTAAATATCATATTCCAGTTGCAAATGCTCCTATTAAAATTAAAGTCCCCGAAGGATAAAGTTTATTGTACACATAAAGCGTGGTAGACCAATCGGTTCCAAAGGTAACAATCCTTGAAAAGAATAGGAGCAAATGATCAAAATGATCATAATAAGGAGGAAATAAGCTCTGGAAGAGCCCACGACATAATATTTCATGAAACTCCAGAAGAAGTTCAGGTACCTGAAAATAAAGAAAGTGATGAGATCTCAACAAGTTATGTTGCTTGCGAACTGATACGAAATGATCGTCGACGATATATTTGATACAATATAATGTACAATATTATAAAAGATTGTGAGGATCGGACAAGTAGTCCAGACACCTGAAGATATCATACCATTTAAATATAATTCATAACCTATATGACTCATTTGATTAATTCTATATGAAGATCCCTGAAGGATTTAAAATGCCTGAAGCAAAATCAAAATCTCGGGAAATGTATTCAATCAGATTACAAAGATCTTTGTACGGTTTAAAGCAATCTGGGCGCATGTGATATAATCGCCTTAGTAAATATTTGTTGAAAGAAGGTTACATAAATAATGTTATTTGTCCATATATTTTTATAAAGAAAATGGCATCAAAATTTATTATACTTGCTGTTTATGTTGATGACATAAATATTGTTGGAACTCGAGAAGAGCTCCAAAAGGCAATTGAATATCTTAAGAAAGAATTTGAGATGAAAGATCTTGGAAAGACAAAACTTTGTCTTGGTCTGCAAATTCAATATTTAGCAGACGAGATCTTTATCCATCAATCTTCCATATATAAAGGGTCTTAAAACGCTTTTACATGGATAAAGCGCACCCATTGAGTACACCAATGATTGTTCGATCACTTGAAGTGAATAAGGACCTGTTCCGACCTCCAGAAGAGGATGAGGAACTCCTTGGTCCTGAAACACCCTATCTCAGTACAATTGGTACACTTATGTATCTTGTTAATGCTACAAGGCCTGACATAGAATTTTCTGTTAATTTACTAGCAAGATATAGCTCTTCTCCTACACAGAGATATTGGAATGGGATTAAGCATATATTGCGATATTTAAAGGGAACTCTTGATATGGGTTTGTTTTACGCTAACAAAGGTAGTGCAGATCTTGTTGGTTATGTAGATGCAAGTTATTTATCTGATCCTCATAAAGCTCGATCTCAAACCGGGTACGTGTTTACATATGGAGGTACTATCTTATCATGGCGCTCCACAAAGCAATCTATTGTTGCTACTTCTTTAAATCATGCTGAGATAGTAGCTATTCATGAAGCAAGCAGGGAATGCGTATGGTTGAGATCAGTGATTCATTTCATTCGAGAAAAATATGGTTTGGAATGTGATAAAAGATCCACAATGTTATACGAAGACAATGTTGCATGCATAGCCCAATGAAAGGGTGGATTTATAAAAGGAGATAGAACGAAGCACATTTCACCAAAATTATTCTACACACATGATCTTCAGAAAAATGGTGACATTGATGTGCAACAAATCCGTTCAAGTGACAATCCGGCAGATTTGTTCACTAAGTCTTTGCCAACTTCAACTTTTGAGAAGATGGTATACAAGATTGGAAGCAGAGACTCAAATATTTGAAATAAGGTTTTCATCAGGGGGAGTGAAATACGCACTGTACTCTTTTTTTCTTACTAAGGTTTTTTTTCATGGGGTTTTTTTTGTAAGGTTTTTAATGAGGCAGCTAGAAATGAGTATTATTAAATATGTGTACTCTTTTTTCTTCACTAGATTTTTTCCCACTGGGTTTTTCCT